GTGATCAGTACATTTTATTCCATCGGTGTATTGAGAAAATAAATAGCATAACGAAAAATGGTTTTTTCAAATACCTGTGTGGGACCACATACACGAAAAAAATTCATTTTTCTCAAGTATGAAACTGTTATCAAAAGCCTTCAGAAACCATCGGGCTTTTCATATGAAACGAAAGATTGATCTTTTGTTCAATACTAGAGGGTTTTTAGTGCACTTGTCGTAATTAAGGACAAAAATGTTTTTTTCGATTCGTGATCTTCTTATCTGAGAAAATCTATTTCAATAAAATCAGCATTATGAACCTTTGAACGATAGTAGAGTTGGACATGCTCTACAAAATTGCTCTAGACACGTTTCCTGTATCCGTTCGCAACATGTGTAAAAAGGTGTTTTTATCGAAAGAAATATTTTTGCTTGAATTTTGTTAGTGCCGTAATTTAGGGACAAAGAAAAGCTTAGTGTCGTGATTAGGGACAAAGAAAAGTAACTGTAAAAACGACAACGAAGGGTCTTCATCGCAGACCGCTGTTTCCTCGAGAACTGTATGAGTGAGAAAAGTTGAAATCATACCATTTCAGAGGCGACTTCAAGGATCATGCACATATAAATATACGTTTATTCAAAAGTAAATTGACCACGAACGAAGTTAAAGGAGCGAAGTAAATTTTTACCGTCGTAATTAGGAGTATTGACTCTACATACTATACGAAAAAAGAGCAACTCATACGTTTTAAAGACAATAGCAACAAGATAGTGGTACCAGTACAGACCTTAACAACAAGTCTGTGATTGTTACAGATACCAGCTGACCATTAAACCTCCATTACAGAGATCAGCAAATCTGAGCTGACCAGACTATGGGTGTTGGAAATTAAGGTAGATATTTCATTTACATTATTTGAATTTATTTTAGTAAGACTACACTCTAAATAAAAATGTTTTCCCAGAAAACCCCGAAAAATAAGTTTCCGATCGTCCGAAAACCGAAGTAGGTTTCCAAGCTAATTCCGAAAACCTGAATACGTTTTTTGACTAATCAGGGATACTTTTGAAACGTTCTTGGAAGGAAAATAAGAGTTTTCGGACGTCGGAAACCTCAAAAAAGGTTTCATATAGTGACAAACGCAGGACCGCTGAAGGATTTCCGAAAAAATTACTGGGTTTCTGGATTTTTGGGAACGGATCACTTTTTCCAGATACCCTACAGCGTTTCCTGGTTTGCCATTATATGAAACGCTCTCGTAGTTTCTGGCGTCCGAAAACACTTTTTTCCTTGCAAGAATGTTCAAAAGTATCCGAGATTAGTCCGAAAACGTATTTTCCGGGGTTTCCGAGAAAACGATTTTTATTTTGAGTGTATGGAAAGGGGAAACAGCAGATCCGATTTCCTTTGAGTCAGGGGGAGTCAGATTGAGTCATCGAGTTACGGAGTCTGCTGTTTCCTCCTTGATTATATATGAGTTCCATATTTTAGACCAGAAGTGGCTGCGCTAACAAGCTTTTTTTCCGATATAATGAATTGGTTCAAATTTTAATTCTACCCAAGTCAGTACCCATGATAATCGGGCTACAAATTTTTCCAATACATTCTGCTGTTGTATATGATAAACTTATATGAATTATCTCAAGTGAAATCATCAGCTATTTTTTGTGTTATGAACTTCCTATATTCGCTGTAGATTAGTCTATGCACATCTATCTTAGTACTAATAATTTCCTGGCAAAAACTGAATGCCTCAAAGTAATATCGATCTCTATAGAATACTCTTGTAACCACTTACGCGTGATCATCTAATATTCATTAATTATATCTTTCGTTAATAACCATAGGTTTTGTTTTATCATAAGAAACCTATTATATGTCTTTTTCAATTTCGTACCTCTTGAACTCTGATCCAAAATGTGAGCAGGTGGTCCATGTGACACTAGAATGTCACAATTATATGGAATATTATTCCACAATGCTTGTGCTTGCTGTGATCGCAGTTGATATTGGAAGCCACCGTAAAACTTTGGCGTGTAAGGGCATCCATAAATATTGATACCAAGTATATCCTTCGATTCATTTTCCAAGTAAAACACGTTTTTTGCTTTCGAATTTAGTAATTCATGTTTGTTTTTCCCATCTAAGAAACTGGGCTTATCCAAGCCAATGCCATCCATATTACCAGCAATGAAAACCTTGTATGTAAAATTATCCAATGAACATAACCAATGAAACGCACTCATAACTTCTTCCGGTTTTCCTTCGTTGCTGAAATCGCCAGCATGAATTAAGATGTCACCCTGCAATCGTCGAATTCTCTCATGAAACTCTCTTATGTCATGACCATTATGCGTGTCAGAAATGCAGACAATTTTTATTGCGTCGTGCCTCCGGTTTGTTCTTGTTTGACGTGCATACTGATTGTGCTGCTGACACGATGGATAGGAATGCAGTGGTGAGGCTACAGCAATGGGTGAAGAATTGAATTGTTGTTTTTGTATCTTATAGTGAGGGATGTCATAATATTCTGGTACTCCACTTCGGAAACAAGAAAAACAATCAAGCAGTGATTTGCGCCTGCGATTATTTACCATCGAATAACTGGTCATTACGAGTATTGTCTCTAATTATTGTTAATGATGATGGTGATATGGGGAAAAGGAATACATCTGCAATGTAAGATCGATAAAGACGAAGTACTAAAAAGGGGGGACAATACTAAACATTTACTGCTTTCAGACGAAATAACAGGTTATTCAGTTTACTTATTTTTTGAGACAAAATTTTAAAATGAGGTGAACGCTTGTGTTGATACGGATATATCATTTTTTTTTGTTTTACTTCTCTTCATTGGCAGAACACGCAACAGGAACATCATCTGATATGGAGAAAAGCTTTTCGTGCACGTACTAGATGCTCTACCTAGACAAATAATGCCACTCAAAGTGCTCTTAAACACGTTAAAAATTCATTATACCGATCTTTGATAGACACAGTGCCGCGGAAAATGCCATTTTTAAGAACACCTGCCTGAAGGATATTCCACTAGAAATCTCCCATTCTAGGGTGTGGGTGTGATTGTTGGTCTGGGTCTGATAGAGATCTGCGGGAGAAATTTTCCTGTGTCCCGAATCCCGTTTTTCTCGTGCAGTGTTTTCGCATTGTCCTGTAATACGCTGTATCCCATTGACAAAAAACGTGTTTAAATGTTACGCAGTTCCGTAAAAGAAAACAGCAGACCTTTTCTGCCGGATTATTAGGAAAAAACAGGAAGAGTGAAAATTTGTTGAACCAAAATGGGTCGCGAGATTTTTAGATAAAAATTAATTTGATTTTATTAAAAATAGAAACTTGTACTTTGAACCCTGCTCGAAGTAAATGAAGATATTTGAGGAAAATAGTACTCTCATGTTTCCGTAGTATATTACCTTTTTACATAACTGATGAGGAGTATTTTAATCTAATCATTATTAGATCAGTCCAATCGAGCTTTTGTGGAACTC